AAGCTCCACCTGCCTCTGCCTCCCCAGTGCTAGGGTTAAAGGCATGTGTTACCATACCTGGCTAAAACAAAAACGTACTTTTAATATCATTTTTTGTTTGTTTTTTGTTTTTGTTTTGTTTTTCGAGGCAGGGTTTCTCTGTATTGTTTTGGAGGCTGTCCTGGAACTCGCTCTGTAGACCAGGCTGGCCTCGAACTCACAGATATCTGCCTGCCTCTGCCTCCTCAGTGCTGGGATTAAAGGTGTGCACCACCGCCCGGCTAAGATCATTTTTATTTTCTATTTGTGGCCTTGTGTGTGAGAGTGCACATGTGTGCACGTATGTGTGGAAGCCAGAGGACACCCTTGGGTGTTACTCTTCAAGCACCTTCCACCTTTTCCTGTTTGTTTGTTTTGTGGTTTGATTTTTCTGTGTAACAGCTTCGCTTGTCCTGGAACTCCATCTGTAGACTAAGCTGGCCTTGAACTCACAGAGATCCACCTGTCTCTTCTTCTCAAATGCTGGGATTAAAGGTGTGTGACATCCAGTTAAACACTGATGTGAACCCATGGAACCCAGTGACAGAGAGAGAGGAGCGATGAGCAAATTGGCAAAGAATCGGCTGGCAAAACCAGCAGACAAGCTGATCTGAATAAAGGGGGAGCTCTTGGACCAGCTGGGAGGCCAGCATGGGACTGATCCAGACCCCCTGAGTGTGAGAGTTAGTAAGGAGGCCCGGGCAATCTATGGGGCCCTGGGCAGTAGATCAGTGTTTATCCCTGGCATACAAATGGACTTCATGTGTCCATAACACAAAGAGGGATGCTCTCTCAGCCTGAACTCTTGGGAGAGTGCCTGGACCCTGCCCTGAGTGAAATGACAGACTCTGGAGATCCCCTATGTGGAAGGAAGTGGTGATAGTATGGAAGGCTGGGGGCGGGGCATGGCGGAGGGGTTCGGGAGGAGGGGGGAGAGGGAACTGGAATTGACATGTGAAGCAAGCTATTTAAAATTAAAATAATAAAAGAAAAAAAAAAAGGTGTGTGACATCACCACCCAGCCCTTTTTGTTTTTAGAGGCAGTCTCTGGCATGGAACTCAAAAAGTAGTATAGCCCAACTGGTTTATTCAAATTCTGTTCTTGCCTTCTCAGCTCTGGGCCTGGGCATGGAACTCAAGCCCTTGGGTTTTTCAAGGAGAGTGCATTACTGACTGAGCTACCTTGCTAGCCCTGAAAATATACTTTTAAATTCCCCTTGAGAGGAAGAGGCAGGGAGGAGCTTGTTGACTACATAGAATTCTGTTTCCAAAAACTAATTAATAATGATGATGATGATAATGTTGATGATGAATAAAAATTTAAAATGTATCCTTCAAAGTCTTCACACTTCCTAAAGCCTATGTAGAAATGGAGATATAATGAAACAGAATTAAAGTATCAGGGAAACAAACAGTAAGATCCCTCGAGAGAACCCAGTGGAGCTTGGTGGTGGTGGTCACACCTTTAATCCCAGCCCTTGGGATGCAGAGGCAGGCGAATCCCTGTGAGTTCAAGGCCAGCCTGGTCTATACAAAGCGAGCTCCAAGACAGCCAGGACTGTTACGCAGAGAAACTGTCTCAAAAACAGCAACAACAAATTAATAGTAATGATGATAATTAATAGAAAGAAAAAAGAAAACCTAGTGGAGAAATAAAATCTCGAACACATCCTAATCCTGGGAGGTCAGGGACAGACAGACCAGGGACACAGGTGACCTTAAATAAAAAAAAAATACTTCTGCACTAAAAGGAGGCATAAAAATTATATATATATTAAAAGAAAGTGGTGGTGCATGCCTTTAATCCCAGCACTAGGGATCTACTTTTATTCTGCCAGTGGTTTTACAGCTTTCCCAGCACCGTTTGTTGAAGAAAACATCTGTTCTCCAGTGTATATTTTTGATATCTGTATGAGATATGTAATATCTGTGTATCATACCTTTTAAAAGTTAACTTATTTATATTATTGGTGGGTTATAAGAATTCTTTAGCTGGCCGGGCGGTGGTGGCGCATGCCTTTGATCCCAGCACTCGGGAGGCAGAGGCAGGCGGATCTCCGTGAGTTAGAGGCCAGGCTGGACCGACAGCCTCCAAAACAATACAGAGAAACCCTGTCTCATAAAACCAAAAAAAAAAAAAAAAAGAATTCTTTAGCTGGGTGGTGGTGGTGCACGCCTTTAATCCCAGCACTCAGGAGGCAGAGGCAGGCAGACATTTGTGAGTTCGAGGCCAGACTGGTCTACAGAGTGAGTTCCAGGACAGCCTCCAAAGCAATACAGAGAAACCCTGTCTTGAAAAACCAAAAAAAAAAAGAAAGAAAAAAGAAAAAGAATTCTTTATATATATATTTTTTAGCCAGGCAGTGGTGGTATACACCTTTAGTCCAAGCACTCGAGAGGCAGAAGCAGGCTGATCTCTATGAGTTTGAGAGTAGCCTGGTCTACAAGAGCTAGTTCCAGGACAGCCTCCAAAGCCACAGAGAAAGCCTGTCTCGAAAAACCAACCAACAAACAAATAAATAAATAAGCAAACGCAGGAGTATCAGGTGTTCCAGGGCAGACACAGAAGAAGCAAACGAGCAAAATGTGGAGTGCTCTGGGAGTTTAGTAGAATTACCTGTATAGCTCTTGGTGTGTTTTAAATTTCCCTAAGATAAAATCTGGGAACAAAATTTTCAGAAAATGGCCTGGAACGCATGATCATCCCACCTCATCTTCCTGAGTGCTGAGTGGCATGAGCCACCATATCTGATAAGACAGAATTGTGGGTAAGGCCACACAGATTTCATTTTAACCCTCCTGTTCTTCCTCTAGGTTCAGCGTATTGTACCACTTAGAATTCAATCAGGAAGTTTAGGAACCATGTTTCATTACTGTCTTTATATCGCCTCCTATATCCAGTCCGTTAATTAGCTTTATTGGCCTCACTTCCAGAAGAGGCCCACGACTGGACTCCTGTTCACCCCGGGACCAGCTTAGCCTAAATGAATGACTCTCAGAGTTTGCAAAAGCCTCAACATCCCTCTCCTTGTGTCTGCTCCTACCCCTCAAGTTTGCTCTCTACAGGGGAGTCGAGGTAATGTGTTTAAAGTATGAATTGTATCTTTCCTTCCTTGCCTAGAGCTCTTCCACAGTCCTCCAACCCCCCCCACCCCTGCCCCGTAAACACACACACACACACACACACACACACACACACACACACACACACACACACTGGTGGGGATCACACTCAGGTCTTGATAGAGTCTTGACAAGTACTCTACTGCAAAACTACATCCCACAGCCCAAGGTTCTGTTTAAGGGTGAGTTAAATGTTCACCTCAGACATCTCCAGGAAAGGTTTTAAGAAAGTGGTTTGCTGCCGGGCGTTGGTGGTGCACGCCTTTAATCCCAGCACTTGGGAGGCAGAGGCAGGCGGATCTCTGTGAGTTCGAGGCCAGCCTGGTCTACAAGAGCTAGTTCCAGGACAGCCTCCAAAGCCACAGAGAAACCCTGTCTCGAAAAAAAACCAAAAAAAAAAAAAAAAGTGGTTTGCTATCTGGGTCTATCTAGCTCAAGGGAAGAATTTAATTGGGGTTTACAGCCTGTAATCAAGGCTTGAGAAGGAAGTAAAACATGAGGAAAAACCATAATATCCAACATTTGGTACTAAGGGTAGGGCACGGGGAAGGATCCTTGAAACTGTATCTAGAAGCCAAGCCAAGCTTAAGGTGTTGTTTCTAGTCAGTCATCCGGCATTTGGGTTGCCTGGAAGTCGTGGCAGAGATCGCAAGCCGCGCTGCAACAGTATCAAAGAAGTGACCTTGGGCAAGGAAGAAAGGGAAAGAAAATGCCAATGAGTTTTTCCTCAACCAGTGAGGATCTGGAATTGACACTGATGAGCCAGACTCTTCAGTTAGCCTGTCTTCATAATTAATATACAACTGACTCTCTGACATGCCCCTCCCCCCTGCCCTACTACCTTAGCCTTCCAAGGGGGCTGGTTTACAGACCCCCATGTCAGGTCGCTCAGGGTTTTTTGTGGAAACTGGAATCTCACGTTGCTGGGCTCGAATTCTTTTTATTTTGTTAAAAACAGAAATTGTTTTAGACTTATCTATTTTATGTGTATGAGTGTTTTGCCTGCATGTATGTGTGTGCACCGGGTTAGAAGATGGCATCTGAGCCGGGCGTTGGTGGCGCACGCCTTTAATCCCAGCACTCGGGAGGCAGAGGCAGGCGGATCTCTGTAAGTTCGAGACCAGCCTGGTCTACAAAGTGAGTTCCAGGACAGCTTCCAAAGCCACAGAGAAACCCTGTCTCGAAAAACAAAAACAAAAAACAAAAAACAAACAAAAAAAAAAGAAGATGGCATCTGACTCCCTGGAACTGGGGTTAGCCATGTGAGCTACCTTGTGGTTGGTGCTGGGACCCAAACCCTGGTCTTATTGAAGAGCAATGAGTGCTATTACTGCTGAGCCATCTCTCCGGCCCTGGTCTCCACTCTACGGCTTCCGCCTAAGAAATGATGGGATTGCATGTATGACGCACCATGGCATCCCACATTAGCTCTTTATTAACTTTTTCTCTTCTTTTAAAGGCAGGGTTTCACTATGTAGCCTCGGCTGGCCTCAGACTTGATGAGGTCCATCCACTGCCCCTCCTCCCGAGTGCTGGAATTAAAGGCTAGCATACAGACCTTTCTAAACGTCCTTTTATAAACCAGTTTCAGAGGGTACATGTTGGCAAAATCAAATCTAACATGCAAGATGATTAAATTTCTCGTTCATTTGTAATTTGTGTCTATCCTTGAGGACCTTTTCTATTCACTGATACTTAAAAGCCGTGAATTTTATTTTTGGAATTAAAAAAAAAAAGAATTCTGAGACAGTCTCTAAAGTTGCATTTCCCTTCTGACATTCTGGGAACAGTCCCCACTCCCTCTCTTCCTGGCCCTCCCTCGCCTCGGATCTCGTTCCTTCGGCCGGAAGTCTCGCGAGAGGTCGAGGTCTCATGAATTCTCCCAGTAGCCCTTGCACTTCCTCTTCCTGTAAGCGACCTGAGGTGAGCGTTACTCGGCATCGGGCTCTCGGGGCCGAATCCTCCGTCATCGTCGCCATCGTGGCCTCGGGGGTGCTGGTGTCGCGGCCCCGGGGATCTGGGATCCAAGGACCATGTGTCCTCGTCACGGGTGGCCGCGCTCTGTGCGGAGGGGCTCGGCGGCGCGTCCGACCTGGAGCCCCGGCTCGCGCAGGCCTCGGCGGGCCGCGGAGCAGCGTGAGGGGCGGGCGCGGGGCGAGGGCCGCGGCGGTGGCGGTGGCCCGGGGTGAGCAGAGCAGGACGCGCGAGGCTAGGCCCGGCCCTGCGGTGAGTGCCGGCCCGGAGGGACGGGGGAAAGCGGCGACGGGGGAATGCGCCGGGTGACGACGCTTCATTCATCTGAGCGCCGTGCTGTAGGTCGGGCGGCGTGGGTGCGTGGGGAGGCTGCGAGATCGGGGCGAACGAGGGGTCAGTGGGCGATTGTAGTTGCTCTCGGCCGTGCTGGTCCTGAAAGTGCCAGCCCCGAAAGGCGCGGGCTTCAGTTGACGGCCGCGTGCCCCTGGCTTCGTGGCGCTGTGGAAGGTAGTTCATGGCATTAAGGGAAATGTGGCTGCGATGATGTCATTTCTTAGGACACCTTTGGATTGACCGTGAAAATAACACTTCTCTGAGCAGCTGCTGCTCGTATTTAATACGTGTTTAGACTTCTTTGGTTACTAGTTGACGGTCGTATTAATGTTCCCAGGTAACCTGCGAAGATGGTTCGCTACTCTCTCGACCCGGAAAACCCTACAAAATGTGAGTGTTGGTACTCCCTGAATTGTTTTGTTTTGGGCATGTGCATAATGCAAAAGAGATGAACCTGAACCTTTTTCCTTCTGTATTTTTGTAGCATGCAAGTCAAGAGGTTCAAATCTCCGGGTTCACTTTAAGGTAAGGAAGCCATGGTCATGACAACAAATTCTAATTTGCTCCTGCCTGTCTTTTAAAAGGTGGCAGCCGTGATGACTTTCTTAGGACACCTTTGGACTTACCATGAAAATAAATACATTCTGAGCAGCCACCTTGCTTATGAGTTAGTAATTGGGTGTGAATGCAAATAACGTGGGATGCCGGATAACAGGGCTTAGATAATTTACTGTGAATTTGTCTCCCAGCTCTCAAAACACCATTAACCAAAACTCTCTGGCTTGTGTTAGAATACCCGTGAAACTGCCCAGGCCATCAAGGGTATGCACATCCGAAAAGCCACCAAATACCTGAAGGATGTCACTTTGAAGAAGCAATGCGTGCCGTTCCGGCGGTACAATGGTGGAGTCGGCAGGTGCGCCCAGGTGAGAGATGGCTACTGTTGGGTGATGGTGGGGCGGTGGGTGCTAAACATTTGTCTGGTTGCTGTGATGACGATCTTAGGACACCTTTGGATTAACCGTGAAATAAAACATGTTCTGAGCAACCTTGGTGTTGACCATAAGTTCTTACTTGGTTCTAATGCTAATTTATCAAGGAAAGTAACAAACTGCTTCCCCTATTTCTTTCAGGCCAAACAGTGGGGCTGGACACAGGGTCGGTGGCCAAAAAAGAGTGCTGAATTTTTGCTGCACATGCTTAAAAATGCAGAGAGTAATGCTGAGCTTAAGGTACGTGTGCCATTGCCATCCTTCACATTGAGTCTCTTACATATGTGTCCTATTAAGTGTACTGGGGGTGAGTGTGCATGCCTTTTTACTTATGCATCACAGAAAAGGGCTTAATTAAGGTCAGCCTGGTCTACATAGTAAGAAGCTTTTCCTGTTGACAGGGTTTTTCTGTGACTTTGGAGGCTGTCCTGGAATTTGCTCTGTAGATCAGGCTGGTCTCAGATCTGCCTGCCTCTGCCTCCCAAGTGCTGGTATTGAAGGCAGAAACTAAAAGAGCCAAACACCGCTTTTGTCTTGTGCCTCTGGTATGACAGAATCTTGCCTTTAGGCCCTCAAGCATGGCCTTCTGTGCCCTGATGGTTTTCTCTATCCCCAGTTCTACAGAGGGAGCATTTTCCTTGGCCTTGGGGGTTTATATCTTATGAGTGAGTGCCAACTAAGGTGTGGCGTCAGAGTCAGTACAAACGAAAACTTTTAGTTTTTGTAATTCCATCAAGCACCTTTGGTTAATGCTAGCCTTAGTGGTGTGGTTTGTTGACAGTTGTGGCGAAAGGGTTTTTTTAGAGTAGACAACAGTGTCTAGGAGTAGGATGACCATTACTCTTGCGTTTGGAAACTTGATTTCAATTCTTTGTAGTAAGGCTTAATACTTCTTTTTTGGCTTTTCCAGACAGGGTTTCTCTGTATTGTTTTGGAGGCTGTCCTGGAACTCGCTCTGTAGACCAGGCTGGCCTCGAACTCACAGAGATCCACCTGCCTCTGCCTCCCGAGTGCTGGGATTAAAGGCGTGCGCCACCAATGCCCGGCGGCTTAATACTTTTTTAAAAATTGTGCTATAAGAGGGCAGGAGACTGGGCAGTAGCTAGTGTAGTATCTCTTTACTAAACAATCTTGAGGGTTACAGGCAATATGTATTTAATACACTAAGTTTTATGGAACTGAATGTCCTAATTGTCTGCGTAAGGGTTGCCTTCCACAGGTGTCATTAAGATATGGGGTATGGCCGGGCGGTGGTGGTGCACGCCTTTAATCCCAGCACGCGGGAGGCAGAGGCAGGCACATCTCTGAGTTCGAGGCCAAGCTGGACTGACAGCCTCCAAAACAATACAGAGAAACCCTGTCTCGTAAAAACCAAAAAAAAAAAAGATATGGGGTATGAGACTTAGATACCCTGCAAAGTATAGCATTGCATGCAGACAATTTAAACAGAAGTGGTGAGGTGGTCGAGGTTATCCAAGTTGAAGGTTGGAAGCTTTTTCTGAACAGGTGTCTGGTTTCTCGTCTCTCCAGGGTCTAGACGTAGATTCTCTGGTCATCGAGCACATCCAGGTGAACAAAGCACCTAAAATGCGCCGACGAACTTACAGAGCTCACGGCCGGATTAACCCATACATGAGCTCCCCCCTGCCACATCGAGATGATCCTCACGGAAAAGGAACAGATTGTTCCAAAGCCAGAAGAGGAGGTTGCACAGAAGAAAAAGGTAAGGCACTCAGTCTTGCTGTGTGCATTGCTTGAAACATAGTGGCTGATAAGACACCTTTGTAATGACCATGAAAGGAACCTATTCTGACCAGCCTTTTACCCACTTTAATGTGGCTGTTATGGCATAACACTGCAGTTACCTTAGCTACACTGGATTAATCGTTGCGCTAGAACACTTCCTCTTCTAGACAATTTGACTTTTGGCGCTTTAGATGTTGCAATTTGTCCTTGATCCTCTAAGTGGTGGTTCTTAACCTTCTTAATGCTGTGTGACCCTTTAATACAGTTCTTCATGTTGTGGCCACTAACCATAAAATTGTGCTTTTCTGATTGGCTTAACCAAGAACCGGCTGATCTATAATGGTCACAGGTTTGAGAATTAATGTAAGAAACTTCAATTATTTCTTTCTTTGTCTTCTCAGATATCCCAGAAGAAACTGAAGAAGCAGAAACTTATGGCACGGGAATAAATTGAGCATAAAATAAATGCAGATAAAAGTACATGTCTTCTGGTCTTCTGTATGGGCAGTTTCAGCTTGCCTGTCAATCAACCCTGTTGGGAGGGGATGTTTACCATACATACCGGAAAGGTTTAGTCTGCCTTCAAGTTAGGTGTGTTAGTGCTCCTCTTGGACATTTAACATGTTCATTATGGGAGGGGAACCATTATCATTGAACTGTCTTCTGTCATTAGTGATGTGGGAGAAGCTGTGATCTATCCTCTGAGGGCAGCACAAACAGGTGTGCCCACTTTTGAGGCTGGAGAGAAGGGTATCTACATCCTGTTCTGCTGAGGACCTAGATGACCTCTAAATTGTACAGTATATGCACATGGAAGACACTTAGTTTTATAAATTGACATTACAGGAAATGTAAGGTATCTGATATATTGGTCGCCCATTTAGTAGCTAGGTCTTGACTTAAGTCTGTTGGAAATGCAAACTTGTAAGTCGTGCATTAGCTAACACCTATCTGTCAGTACTGCACCAAGCTATTTTCTATGTACATTGTCTCGTGAACGTTTCATTAAAAAATCCATAGCATGGAGCTCTTTTGCACTGTCTTTGAAAGCATTTTTTCAGAGGTTGTGACTTTGTACTGGGCTGGAGGAATGGCTCAGGTGAAGCTGCCACCCTGACTACCTGAGTTTTAAATGTCTGTAAACACCAAATGACACACAGAATTTCTTTTAACCTGTTAAACACCAAGCACCTTTTGCTGCAACATTAGTGCTTCCTGTGAGCCATCTGTAGGAGGCTCTGTAGGAATAGTTTTCTTTGGTATATTCCCCAACAAAGTAAATATTTGTGCCAGACATTGGCAAACAGGCTTTGAGATAGGGTTTCTCTATGTAACCCTGATGGACTTGGAACCAGGCTGCCCTCGGACTCCCATCACCAGTCTGCCTTCCGACTGCTGGGATTGAAGGCTTTTGCCACCACTGGTTGAGTGTAAGGGTTCCAATTAGACTAGTGAGTGTAGAATGATTAGCTTGGGTTGAGTGCTAGAAATAACCCAACTAGTTTAGTTCTACAAGGTCTTAGGCGTGCATAGACTCCCATCTTCAAGGGAGATGAGCACAAAAGGTTTCAAGATCAGTCAGCATTTTATGTGGAGACCCAAAAAGACTAGCAAATCCGCCTGGAAACATTTACTGCCAGGGCTTTTCCTATGGCCATCGAGCCCATGCAGTCCAGCAGACGAATCAGGCAAGTCAGGCGCTTGAAAACGGGATTCTGCACAGGGCCACCTTTCCCAGAGGCGCGACTCCGGAAGGGCGGCGAGTTCTGTATTCGTCATCGTTACGTTTTGCGCGTCCCCTGTCTGACGTATCCGCCTTTGTCAGCTCATGGACATGCTATTGGCTGTTAGCAGCCTAGCCTCCCGGAAGTGCGGACATTACCCTGGGCGTCTTGGTAGTGACGAATGAGCTTCTAGTGGGGTTGGAGCTCGCGCATCGGGTCTCTGTCAGCGGTGCTGCCCCGCGGCTCGCCGTCCCGGACGGTGCTGTGCAGTGCCGGTAGCCTGCCCTACCCTCGCGTCTCCGCGCCGGTCTTCGTTCATCGACCTCGGTGTTCCTCCTTCCCTTCCTTCGTTCCGTGGCGGTTTGGTTCATATCCTTGGACCCGCACGGTGAGTGCCCCTCCTCTCTGCGCCGCTGCCCCCTACTTTTTGATCGTTGTCTGATTTCCCTTGTTCCTCTCGGTTCCTTCAAGGGAGATGACTTCACGACTCTACTTAGGCTGTTCTGGTGGATCCCTAGCCCTTCCCTCTCTCACTTCCATTATCTTCTTAGACCAAGTTGAGTGAAAGATTCCATTTTGCTCTCTTTGATGGCTTGGATAGTAAGTAGTTAAAATAGTAATCCACCTTGCTATTTTCTAGACATTTCTACCACAGTTCCTACAGTATGAAACAAAACTATCCAAAAAAAAAATACTAGGATTAAGAAACAATACTATTAATTTTCTACTTAAGAGACCCAGAAAGTTTTGTAAAAACGATAATTTTTTTTTTTAAAATTATGGTGGTGGTGCACACCTTACATCCCAACACAAAGGAGGCAGAGGCCGGTGGGTCTCTTAAGTTCAAGACTTGTCAAGGCTATAGTGAGACCTTGTCAAATGGGGTGTAGTTACTGGCACGGTTTCTTAGAGCACAGCGTGTAGGAATTTATAAACCACTAACTACAAGTAGAACTCAAAAACATACGAATGACAAAGTTGGATGGATAGGAAAGGGACCTGAAGAGTTGTAATATTCTCAATTTTTCTTAATTGGGAAAAAGGTAAATGATTTATTTGTTTTGTTGTGTTTTAAGACAAGATCTCACTAACTAAACAGATCTATAGCCCTTTCCCCTCCCAATAGCTAGGATTAACAGCATGACCTACCATTCTTGGCTGGGAATTCTGGTTGTGCACAGGTTTCCACTTTTGTGAGTTCTCTTCCATCAGTCTGCAGCCCCAGCCCCAGGCCCCCTCTATAAACTTTAGTTTTCATTTTTAAATAGGAGCTTCCTAAATTGTTCATGCAGGCCTTGAACTCGACGTGTAGACCAGGCCAATTTATGTGGCTCTGTTCATGAGCTTCCCAAAGAATTGGGATCATAAACCTAGACTGTTCGTTTTGGTTTGTGACATTTCTGGTTTTTTTTTTTTTTGAGACAGGGTTTCTCTGTGGCTTTGGAGGCTGGTTTGTGACATTTCTATTTCATACTATAGTCACACTGCCCAACTGCATTCTTATGTGCTGGGTGCTGTCATCGTCTTCATTTTTCTTATGAGGGAGTTAGGGCACAGTCTTGGTTCAGTAATTTTTCCAAGAAACACATTTTAGCAAGTGATGTAGGTCTCAAGCCCTTAGAGCCACCTCCTAACTGTGTATCTCAGCTCAGATTCTAAACATCTGGAGCCAAAAAGAAGATGCTTGAAAAAAAAAAGGCTGAGAAAGAATGAATCTCTGCTAATTAACTTTTTTAAAGTGCTAATGGAACAGAGGGTCTGGCACAGTTTTTCTCAACCTTCCTAATGCAGTTCCTCATGTTGTGCCCTAACCATAAAATTATTTTGCTGCTACTCGTAACTGTAATTTTGGTGCTGTTAGGAATCATAATGTATTCACTCTTTTTTTTTCGAGACAGGATTTCTCTGTGGCTTTGGAGGCTGTCCTGGAACTAGCTCTTATAGACCAGGCTGGTCTCGAACTCACAAAGATCCGCCTGCCTCTGCCTCCCGAGGGCTGGGATTAAAGGCGTGCGCCACCAACGCCTTTAGGCTAGGAATCATAATGTAAATATCTGGTATATAGGATATCTGATATGTGACACCTGTGAAAGGGCCACTTGACTCCCTCTTGGGGGTCGCAACTCATTGGTTGAAAACCATGGGTCTAGCAGGAACTAGACCAGTGAGCTGCACCCCAGCTTAACTGATTGATTTTGTTTGTTTTTTCAGGACAGGGCTTCTCTGTGTAGCTTTGGAGCCTGTCCTGGAACTCACTCTGTAGATCAGGCTGGAGTCGAACTCGAGACCCGCCTGCCTCTGCCTCTGAGTGCTGGGATTAAAGACTGTACCATCACTGCCTGGCTAGTTTCAATTATTAACTTGAAACAACCTAGGATTCCGGGGAAGAGTGTTTTAATGCGTAATGATCCAAATCATTTGGCCTGTGAGCATGTCTGTAAGTGATTATTTTGATCATTGAAGGATGTAGAAAGACTGAGCCCATGGGGGGCATCACAATTCCTTAAGCAGGAGATCAGGAACGGTGTGAGGGGAGAAAGCTAGCTGGGAGCAAGCAAGAACCCTTGTAGTTTTTCTCTCTGCTCTTGATTGTAGATGTGATCATTTTTACCTCAGTTTCCCACAATAATGGACTAACCTGGACTATGCGCGAAACAAGCCTCTTCCCTCAGCTGCTTTTTGTTGGGGTATTTGTCACAGTAACAGAGATGAAATTAGAATAATCTTCTATCTGAAATCCTAGTACTAATAAATTAATTTTGTAAATTTAAGACATCTTTTGATTTAATAGAACAAATGTTGTCTCTTTTAATGTAGTTGATAGCTGGGCTATGGTGGTACACGCCTTTAATCCCAGCACTCAGGAGGCAGAGGCAGGTGGATCTCTCTGTGAGTTCAAGACCAGCCTGGTCTACAAGAGCTAGTACCAGGACAACCTCCAAAGCCACAGAGAAACCCTGTCTCAAAAAAACCTATTTTCCTTTAGAAAATAGCCAAACAGCCAGGCGGTGATGGTGAAGCCTTTAACCCCAGCACTCAGGATGCAGAGGCAGCATCTCGCCTGTTCCTTTACCTTACAGATAGCTGCATTTTGGATTAGAAACCTTTGCTTTCAGCAGATATTTTTGTACATACCCCCTACCCCCGTAGAAAGAGTACTTTTTTCCATAAAGTCTTTCTGTCACTAACCTATGAGCTATTTCTTTTCTCTGTCTGTGCAGCAGTTTAAGGAACTCAAGCCTGGGACAATGGTGTGCATTCCTTGTATCGTCATTCCAGTTCTGCTCTGGATCTTCAAAAAGTTCCTGGAGCCATACATATACCCTCTGATATCCCCCGTTGTCAGTCGTGTATGGCCTAAGAAAGCCATACAAGAATCCAGTGGTAAAAATACAGGCAAAGTAGACTGCAAGGTAAGACCCTCCAAGTGCTTCAGGCAAGGTGGGTGAAAGGGTGCCTCGTGGGTAACAAAAGCCCTTGACTTTGAAGAGGGAGATTCTAGAATTGGTAGCTTCGGTTTGTTTGTCTCAGTTTTCAGTAATTTAGTAATGAGAAGACTTTAAAGCAGGCTTCTGAGTAATGTTTGTCCTTTTGCCACGGCTTTGGTTGAGGGTCTAACTTTTTCCCCACCTGACATGGGGATTGAACCCAGGACTAGGAGCCCACCAGGTCAGCCCTCTACCACTGAGCTACATCTCCAGACCCAGTGTGAAGGCACTTTTAAAAGTGAATGTGTAGATCACTCCTGTCTTTGGCATTGGTGCCTGCTGCATTGACTTTGTCCAGCTGTGTTTTAGTTAACCTGCATAATTCTGGAAACAAAGTCATTTCATTCTGAAGTTTGTTGTTTGCTTTTACAAAGAATGTCGCTTAAAACTCAGTGTGTTTTTGTTATAATAATACTTGATTTTTTTTCTTTTCATTTTAGGGTGCAGATACCAACGGATTACCCACAAAGGGACCAACAGAGGTCTTTGATAAAAAGAAAGACTAGTGTGGTTTTTCTGAAAGCCCTTGGCTGTTTTGAAATGGACCCGATAATATGAAGCACCTTCTTTGTCTCTTGATTTTTTTTTTCTCTGAGACCAGGAGTCTAGATAAGCAGTTTAGATATCTACTTGATACTGATCAGGAAGTACATGGCATTTATATTTAAAGTGTAAGTAGTTATATTTAATGACCTCACCCTGAGTTTCCTTTTCATTAAAGTAGCTTTTGTTTCTATTATTCCATTTTACTAATATAATAAATAGAAGATTTGTGTGAGCAGACACTCAGAACTTGGGGTGCTTGGGTCTTTACATTGTTTTACACGACTTTGGCTGCTGTTTTCGCTTCCTGTGGGCTCTTGTAACTTGAGTGGGATGAGTCTTACTATTCAGCAGACAGTACAGCAGACAAACTGTGAAAAAGGTAATTACTGCCAAGCGCAATGGAGAGCTGTTGCTTAGGATCCGTTACTACTCCAAGTTAACTAGATAAGAAGGACCTACGGGAAGCTTCTTTGAAAAATGGCACATCAACATCAATGTCAGTCACATAAATTCTAATTCTGCTCTACTTCTATTCCCGCAAATGCATTAAACATTAAATTTAACTTGTTCTTTGTTTCTTTTTGTCTTTTCATATTTGAAAGTAATTTTTAAGAAGGATCAGGCTAACAAAGCCGAATCTTAGAACTGTGATGGCATCAAGACAGTGGTTCAGCAGAAGTCAGCTTTTCACAATGAGTGAATATCACAGGAAGGGTTTAACAGGCCTGGTTTTTGCCTAAAGCAGCTTGGGGTCTGATTTTGGGCTTCTTTACTTGAATGATGATAGGATAAAGTCAATTCTGTGCCTGAAGGCTGTATTCCAGCTACCTAGGGGGCTGAGAACTCCAAATTCAGGCCTGGCCTTTGCTGCAGAATAAGTTTTCGTCTAACTTAGCAGGATCTCATGTCAAATTTTAAAAAATGCAAAAAAACAAACAAACAAAAAAAAGACCCAGGTGATGGTGGTGCACGCCTTTAGTCCCAGTACTTGGGAGGCAGAGGCAGGTGAATCCCTGTATGTCCGAGGCCAGCCTGTTCGACAGAGTGAGGTCCTGGATAGGCTCCAAAGCTACAGAAAAACCTGTTCCAACAAACAAACAAATATACAAACCTGATTGGTGATGTAGCCCAGTGACAAAGGTGTTTGCTTGAGCTGAAACCCTGGGTACAGTCCTCAGCACTATACATCCCTCCACTCAAATTGTGTAGCAGAGGATGGCCTTGAACGTCTCATCTTCCTGTCACTACCCCCCAAATGCTAGGGTTACAGGTGTGTACTGTCACACCTGCTCCCCCACTTTTGTTCTTCTGAGACAGGGTCTCATCACATAGCTCTGAATGGCCTGGGATTCCACCATCCTAGCTTAGCCTCCCAGGTGCCTCAGTTACAGGCAGAAGCCCCCATTCCTGGTTTAAATGTACGTTTGTATTGCATATGCACATCATTGCTTTTATTCCACATCAGGGTGTTGATTTTCCGGGGAGGGGTTGGTTTTTTGAAACAAGGTCTCTTGTAGCTCTGGCTGCCCTGGAGCTCAGTATGTAGACCAGGCTAGCCTCAAATTCACAGAGTTCCTCCTGCCTCTGCCTCCCAAATCCTGGAATTAAAGGTGTGTGCCACCGCCCAGCTGCACCATCATTTTGAAGTGATCTCAGAAAGTCCAGGCTGACCTATGTAGTCAAGGGTGACTTTGAACTTCTGTTCCTTCTGCATGCAGATGCTAGTATTACACGTGTGTGTCATCATGGCGAGCTCACTTTGAAGTAAATTTTTTTTTAATTTGGGGGGTATTTTATTTTTATGTGTGTTTTTTCCTATGTACATGTATGTGCAAGTTTTATGTGCCTATGGATGGTTGTGAGCCACCACAAGAGTGCTTGGAATTGAACCCCCAGGTCTTCTGCAAGAACAGCAAATGTTCTTAACCACTGAGCCATCTCTCCAGCCCTGAAGTATTGGCTAGTTCTGTCTTACTTATTAACCCATTTCTATAAACCTATGTATCTCTACATGGTCTTGGCTTAACAGAATGCCCAGGCATCCTACCTTCCTGGTGGCTACATGGCATCTCCCTGGAAGCTTCTCTCTCCATTCTTACCTCAGAAATCTCCTTGTCTGGTAGCCCTGGCTATACTTCTGCCTGGCTACTGGACAATCAGTGTTTTATTAAAACAATAAGAGAAACACATATTCACAGCATACAGGCAGGACATCCCCCTTCACAGATCTTTGTGAGTTTGAGGCCATGCTGGTCTACAAAGTGAATTCCAGGACAGCCCAGGGCAGGGCTGTTACACAGAGAAACACTGTCTCAAAAAAAAAAAAAAAATCAGCAGGTCAAGTTTAACTGGGCCTGATTCCCTCTCCAGGTCCCTTGGGCACCAGGGATACATATGGTGCACATATATGCAGGAAAATCATTTATACACATAAATATAAAAATATCATCTATTATCTGTGCATCATCTAGCTATGTAGCTGTCATCTATTACCTGTCAGTGCCCTTGTGCTAAACTGATTTGAAATTCAGTATACTTTATAATTCTGAAACAAGACATTTAGGGGTGTTGGTACCTACGTAATATCACTTGGAATCTCGAGGCAGGAGCATCTCTGAGAGTTCAAAGTCATCCTGGCTTAGAGTGAAACCTTTTTTAAAACAAAACTAAAGGAAGAAAGAGCCACTCAGCATAGTCATTTCAGACTCTGAACTGGAAGGTATGAGGAAGGCAGCCACAGAAATAGTATAATTCATGAACAAAGAAAATGAGTTCACAAATAATGATGTTTCAAGTAGGGCGTTAGTGGCGCACGCCTTTAATCCCAGCACTTGGGAGGCAGAGGCAGGCGGATCTCTGTGAGTTCGAGGCCAGCCTGGTCTACAAAGTGAGTTCCAGGACAGCCTCCAAAGCCACAGAGAAACCCTGTCTCGAAAAACCAAAAAAAAAAAAATCAAGCGTTTCGAGGGTGTAGACCTTTTTTTTTTGTGTTTGTATGGGTGTTTTGACTGCATGTGTGTCTGTATCATGTGCATGCCTGGTGCCTGAGAAGGCCAGAAAAGGATGCCAGCTCCCCTGGAACTGGAGTTATAAGTGTTCGTGAGCCATCATATGGGTGTTTGGAATTGAACCCCAGTACTCTGCATGAGTAGTCAGTGTTGTAAGTGCTGATGCAGACCTCCAGAGTCCAGATTTACAGGGTACCAGTTGGTGTCAGCTGGGAGGAATTGGGCTGGACATGGAGCACACAAATAGGACTAATCAGGAGAAAGCTGTCAAATTTGGTGGAGTGGGAAGAACAGAGGGCCCACCAAAAGTTTCTAGTTCAGTTAAGTCCTCTGTCTCCGCCAACACTTGGTAAGGTGTTTCAAGTGATCACTGCAGCTGCTAGTCATGTCCCCTGCTTCCTTCAATAGGCCCTCGTTTCTTCACTGGCTTTAGCTACTGTATAGCTGATACCAGCAGTCCACTTTGAGGGTTGATTCTCCCAGCTGTATCAGTACTCCATGTCCCTCCCTGAAGAGCCTCTCCTGCCTCTGTTCTTTGGTTTCTTACCCTGGTGACCTTGCCCCAGCTCCTTTGGGGGCATTGGCTGTGTCTGTCACAGACTGGTGTCTTTATGTCATCACCCTCCCATGGTGCTAAAGGTTTGGAAGTAGAAAGAAGTGTAATTCAATTAGAAATGACCAGATGCTAACTGACCAGATTACAGGCATCTCTTCCCGTGACAGTTTACGGTTCTTGGAAAGGCAATATCAGACCTTTTTAAACACCTAGTGACTCTGGGGAAAGTTGTCCTCCAGGAAGCCCCACCCTGCTACTTCACACACAAAAAGTACAAAAACCACTGGACAATACATAATAGGTCATAAGGCATGTAGTTCATGCTGCTGGCCTCTGGGACATTCATTTTGCCAAATGAGACTAGCATTGTCATAATATTGGTAAGTTAAATTCTCCTGTAAAATATGACTGGGAAGATGTCTCAGCATTGGATACTCTTCCAAAGACCTAGGTTCAATTTCTAGCACCTACATCGTGACCCATAATCATCTGTAACTCCAGTTCCAGGGGATCTATCTGACACCTTTTTTCTGGTCTTCTGAAGCACCAGATGTACAAGTGGTACACAGACATACATGCAGTCAAAACACATAAAATAAAAATAAAATTAAACTTTAAAGCATGATCTAATATAATTGAAATAAATTTTACCTACTTTGGCTTAAGATCCCAAATAATTAGATCTAATCCACACCACATGGGGTTCTATTTTCTCAAATCTTTACGTAAATTATTTGTAAACGTATCAGGAGATTGACACTGTCATCTTTGGAAGGGATCCCCTGCAAATACCATCACCCTGAGATGTAAGTTCTAACGGGCAAATTTTGAAGGGACACATACATTGATACCATAACATACCTATTCTGAAATGTCCTCATGACTGTTATATGAATCAGTGCAGATGGACATTTTTTATTTAATTTCATTTTATGTGCATTGGTGTAGAAGTGTCAGATCCCCTAGAACTGGAGTTACAGACAGTTGTGAACTGCCATGTGGGTTCTGGGAATTGAACCCTGGGTCTGCTGGAAGAACAGCCAGTGCTCTTAACAATTGAGCCATCTCTCCAGCTCCCAGCTGAACTATTTTTTTTTTTTTTTTGGTTTTTCGAGACAGGGTTTCTCTGTATTGTTTTGGAGGCTATCCTGGAACTCGCTGACCAGGCTGGCCTCGAACTCACAGAGATCTGCCTGCCTCTGCCTCCCGAGTGCTGGGATTAAAGGCGCGCGCCGCCAATGCCCGGCCCAGCTGAACTTTTTAAAAGGATTCCAGGCTTATAGCTGTTGTTTTTGTTTTTGCAGTCCTTGGGATTGCATCCAGAGCATTGCACATTTTGTCCAAGTTAGGGTTATAGATGTGTTCCACCAGACCCAGCTGCCACTGCCTTTGGGCATTCCAATTTCCTCTAAGTTGTTTTTGTCATAGTATTGTGACACAGCAACAAGGAAGAACAGGAGGACAGCTGGGGACAGTCCGTGTTGCTTGCACAGAAAATTAGAATGCACTTTTGAGCAGGTGATATTTACAAGGCACAGGAGAATATTTACAAGGAAAGCTTTCGGGTCTTGTAGTTGGGCTTTGGTTTTGTTTGTTTTCTTTTGTTGAGACAGTCTTGTTTCTGTGTAGTCCCTGGCTGTCCTGGAATTCGCTCTGTAGATCTGGCTGGCCTCAATTCAGAGATTTCCCCTGCTTCTGCCTCCGGAGTGCTGGGATTAAAGCAGCTAAGAGTCATCCAGCTAAGAGACAGGTCTTAAGTAACCTAAACTAGGTTTGTAGCTAGCTGAGAATGACTGAACTCCCAATTCTCCTTCCTCCAACTCCCAAGTGCCGGGGTTTTTGATGTGTGCCACTAGCTTTGAACTTTCAATTCTGCTACCTCTGCATCCTACAGAAAGCATGTATCTTGAAAATCATTGGATATCATAAAAACAAATACATGATTGTACCTAATAATAGACCATCAATGTATATGGAGCAAACATTGAAAATATTGAAA